CTTTATGGTTGCAAGAACTTTAAATGCATGTATACATATGTCTTGACATTTAAGGTGAAATCCAAGGGGCATGGTTCATGTGAAGATTTTCTCATTGCAGCACAGTCTCTTCACAGCCATTCATAAGCATTATACAGTGGAGGCTTGGAAGGAATTTGCTGCTGAAAACCCTGGGGTCCTATGCAGGGTTGCTGCTAGCTCTGGAAATGCTCCTGGTGATTTTGAAAAGCTCTCTAGTATTTTGAAGGTAAGTTCTTACTCTCCCCTGCCAGGATCATGGTGTTTTCTCAATCCTCTTTGTACATTTTAATGTATTTTATTAAAACATCATTGTGATGCTTCCTTTATATGATTCTTCCTAGGAAATTCCAAATGTACAATTCATCTGCTTGGATGTGGCAAATGGGTATTCAGAACATTTTGTGGAGCTGGTTCGCAAGGTTCGCAAGGCATATCCTGACCTCACCATTATGGTAAGTTATCATTTGTTATTTTTAGCTCATATATTAGTTATTGAGATTTGAAGTTAGATTGAAAACTCCCAGAAGAAACATACCCCTATTCCCCAAACCACACAATTGGGACTAGCCTGAAGGGTAGACAAAGTTAATTGCTGAGGATGGACTAATTGATTGTTCAACATGGTCATTTATTGTCAACAAGCCAAATAAAAGATTTTTTGCTTTTGTTGTAAATGACCATTTTGAAGAGTTAATACCTCATCAATGGAGAATGCCTAGAGTTCTAAAATATGGGTTGGGGTGGAGGGAAGGGGAGAGCAGGGCAGGGCAATTTTATAGTCTTACATTTTCTCATAGATTAGAGTGCTAGGTAATTAAAAATTAAGAAAAGTATTTCATTTCTAATAATAGCAGGTAATAATAGCGAAAGTGGTACATCTGGTGTCAGATTCCAGCAAAGGTCAACCAACTGAAGGAAATGTTATCAAGTTCAAGTACAAGTCTGCAGATCTAGCAGGACTGGGCTGAGTGGAAGAGAGGGAAGTAGACAGTGAATTTAGTTCATTTTGTTGCTTACTAATCTAAGGCTTGGCCTGGAGACAATGACAGATAGATACTTACTTTGTGTCATAAGGTGCACAATTTTCTGGAAATATCTATGAGAAGAACACTCGTGAAACATAGCTATTGGAAAGAGACTTGGAGGATGGCTTTATTAGCTTTGTATTGCCACAAGAGGTAGGAGTTACTTTGCCAATAACTTGGTGGCAACTTGCAAGATGATATTATTTTTCTTCTTCAGGGTGACTTATTTGCCATAATTCAAGTTATATGGGAATTCTTCAACCAGCAGGGTCATCTTGCAGTAGATTATCAGCAGTTCCAACCAACCAATCTTATGATTGAGGTGGTTGTGTTGTTGGCACTGTAAAAATGCAATGTTCTTGATGTCAGGCAGGGAATGTGGTGACTGGGGAGATGGTGGAGGAGTTGATTCTATCTGGAGCAGACCTTGTGAAAGTTGGTATTGGACCAGGATCTGTTTGCACCACAAGGAAGAAAACTGGAGTTGGATATCCCCAGCTCTCAGCTGTCATTGAGTGCGGTGATGCTGCCCATGGCCTTGGAGGCCACATCATCTCGGTGGGCATTCACAAAAGGCACCTTTTTTCTGCTCAAGCTATTTTTCCCTTCTTTTCAAGGCTGATGTCAGAGATCACGTGACCCTTTTTTGCTTACTGGGATTGGGTTCATTTGAAAGTGGAGTTGTGTTTGATTTTTCAATTTTGAAATTAAGGCCCAATGATGAATGGTAAGCAGGTTCAAAGAAAGACTTGACTCTCCCCATTTTCCATATTTGAGAAGACTGCTCTGATAAACATCCCAAATATGGAGTGTGGAGGATCTAGGAACTCATCACAAGGAGATGAAAAAATATCTTCAGTGATTTCCCTCAAGTGAAGATATTTAAATTTTTCAAATGAATGACCATAAATTCTGTTTCTACAGGATTTTAAAACTTATATAGACAATGAAATATATATGTACCTAATTATGCCTTTCTTAAGTAATTTTTGCAGAGGAATGTTTGGAACAACAAGGTAGATATGAAGATCTAGGTCACTGTGACTGTCCACTGTGCAACTATGGAAAGATCATAGATGAATTTCACTGTTTGTCTGGCCTGTGTGAATGTCATACAGATAGTCTGGTCTGTGTGAATGTCATACAGAACTACTTAGATACCCCAGCACTACCATTATCACCATAACAAACATATATTTTCCATAATAATGCAGTCTTGGAATACATTCAAATTTGCTGTGAAATTCTTTAAAAAACAGAAACAACAGGAACCTAAATGATAAAAGAATGCATATATTTGTGATGTAATGTTTCTGACATTGATCTCAATAAACAAATAATTGGGATTGTCATTTTCTCATTGTCAAAAAGAATGACTGTGTGTATCCCCATCAGAAAATGGCATTCATTTTTCCCAAGACCTAAAAATGAAATATTCTGGTTTCTTGTCATGTCCACAGAGAGGATTCTCTCCACTGTCTCTTATCTTGTAATGAAACTGTGCCTCTTGGCATAACAGGTTTTCAGTTTGGACCCTGGAATTGCTTGAAAGGATATCTGATGTACTGCAGTAGGGTCAAGATTATTTCTTCAGGAATTTGCTCTAGGAAAGTAGCTTGCTGTCTTCCCAGGAAAATTGCTCTTTAATTACTTAAAATAATTTGTATAATCAATGTTTTTCTCTTGATAATCACATAGTTTACATTATCAAACTCTTTCTTTTGGACCCTTCCTTCACCTAAAGTAGATTTAAGATACTTGAGTTCAGTATTGTTGACTGTTTCTCACCCTCACTTGAGACTGTCATCATGGTAATCAGTGAAACTGACCTTGCTAGTTTCACAGATACCCTGCATTGAAAATGCACAGGATTTTAGAAGGGGGCAGTTGAATGATGGGGAATGGTGGAAAGGGAAGGTTTCAATAACAGTAGAGTTACCCAGCTGAGTTACCTGCTAATGAGCTGAGAGTAGAGGATAGAGTTTCTGAACCCTCTCTTGCATATGCCACTGATCATAACCCTGGAAATCTACTGTGTGCCCCAGGATGGTGGCTGCACATGTCCAGGAGATGTGGCCAAAGCATTTGGAGCTGGTGCTGACTTTGTCATGCTGGGAGGGATGCTGGCTGGCCATGATCAGTCGGGTGGAGATACCATAATCAAAAACGGAATCAAGATGAAACAGTTCTATGGCATGGCATCAAACACTGCCATGATGAAGCATCAGGGCAGTGTTGCAGAATATAGGTCTGTCTTGTCTTGCACATTGATTGATGTTCCTCACTAAGGATACTTTATAGAGCATCTATCAAGCTACATGATTGTTGATTATCTTACCTTTCTGACTCTCATACCAGGGCATCAGAGGGGAAGACAGTTGAGATCCCATACAGAGGAGACGTAGAGAATACCATCTTGGATGTTTTGGGAGGACTGAGATCTGCTTGCACTTATACAGGTCTTGAGTATATATCATGCACTCTTTCTTTACATTATGCAATTCTGTAATTAACTCATGAAATTGGGACTCTCAGGTGCAGCGAAACTGAAGGAGCTGCCAAAGCGGACAACATTCATCAGAGTCACTCAACAACTGAATGAGGTGTTCAGATCCAGTGATGGATAATCCTATTCATTTTGCATTCTTCTTCCTTACTCTAGATTGGGTGGATCTAGTCACCTTTTTAGTATAGTAGAGTAGCCTCATTTTATTGTGTTAAGGATCTGACTGAAGCAGAGAATGCAGTCATTCTGTTGAATTTGCTCGATTTTCTTCATATTATTAGGTCTTTTCAATCACAAAACTGCAATCTGTGTCTCCTGACCATGATGATAGGTCTAGTCAAAACTGTGAGGTCCTGGTGCAAGTGACATGATCCCTCTTACTGTATAATTCAATGTGTGAATTTCTGGGCAGTGCAATGTTTACTTGGTTACAAATCTTACACTGAGTGTCCAAGAGTCTCTGAAGTGGTGATGAGAAGAAATTAATGGTGGATTATGCTAATTCATGGCATTTGTGATGCTTCCATCCATGGACTTCTTTTCTTTAATTATTTGTGACCAATACATCTGTCCCATGTCTGTGATTGTCTCAAATGCCTGCCAATTTGGGAGACCCTAACCCTGTGAAGCTTCTCTTGTTGCATCTGAGCATACTCCAAAAAACTTCTGGTTCCATTCTAAGTGCACTTATCACATTTTCTTGAAGTATACTCTGCTTACTTAATTCTTCTATTGGTCTCAGCATGGTGGACAAAGCATATATTGTAGAACTGAGTTCTTCCATCAGTTTCCTGCAATTATTTGAAAAATTTATGGCATTTTGACTCCTCAGGAATGGATTGGTTTGGGGCATTGTCACTCATTTAGGGCCCTGAGTCCATTTGCTTAGAAAATAAAAACTGCTAGAAGTATTTGGTTTAAAACAATGTACCTGATATTGCATATACTGTAATAATAGTGACCTTCCGTTTCTAAGCAATTCCCTGAGTACACATGAAAGTGCTTGCATCACTGTTGGTCTCCAGTATTGGTTCCCGTCCCAAAGATCTGTAAGCAATTTTTGATTTTTTCAATCAAAACTCATTTTCTGGTTAAGGTGCTCTCATTGTACTAGGAGGGTAATAAGAAGGTCCTGGCCTTTGCTTTTGTTGTCTGGTATTCTATCTGTCTACCCTTGCTCTGATTCTGTGCTGTAACTATACCTTGTCGTTTTGTCACAAGGAATTTTGCTGGCATATAAAAATGAGTGAAAAATCAAATGAATCTGTGTAAGCACCTTGATTTAGCCAGTGTACTGGTATCCAATATCGAATGCGGACCGAATCAATGCACACACCCTTGGTTTTCCAGAAGAAAGATTATTGAAGCCTGCACATTTTTGCTTGCTCATACGATCGAGAAATCTAATTTAGTTCCCTAGTTGGAAGAAATAATATGCCTCTCGACTCGTAATGTACTCTCATATGCATTGTAGAGTCTAAAGATTTCTTGCCTCGGCTCTAGTGCTTTTTCAACAAAATCGCTGGGTCTTGAAACATTTTTTCCACGAAATAATTCCTCCACACTGAGAGTGTCAACCAGGAGAATTTGTACAATTAGTTTGTTCTTTCAGTTCCGCGGAACTACTGTTAACCGCACGAAATCTGCCATAATTCCACGTAGATTCTCGGAATCCATTGGTCCGGATTCTCAGCTTAGAGCAATGAAGTTTTGTTAACGGCTGCGGACGAAAACCACGGGAACTCGGGCTTCTGGAATGACGATTGCCATAGAAAAACAAAGAGATGAAAACCACCCACTCTACAGTTTTTAAAACTTATATAGACAATGAAATATATATGTACCTAATTATGCCTTTCTTAAGTAATTTTTGCAGAGGAATGTTTGGAACAACAAGGTAGATATGAAGATCTAGGTCACTGTGACTGTCCACTATGCAACTATGGAAAGATCATAGATGAATTTCACATTGTTAGTCTGGCCTGTGTGAATGTCATACAGAACTTCTTAGATACCCCAGCACTTCCATTATCACCATAACAAACATATATTTTCCATAATAATGCAATCTTGGAATACATTCAAATTTGCTGTGAAATTCTTTGAAAAACAGAAATAACAGGAACCTAAATGATAAAAGAAGGCATATATTTGTAATGTAATGTTTCTGATCTGACATTGATCTCAATAAACAAATAATTGGGATTGTCATTTTCTCATTGTCAAAAAGAATGACCATGTGTATCCCCATCAGAAAATGGCATTAATTTTTCCCAAGACCTAAAAATGAAATAATCTGGTTTCTTGTCATGTCCAAAGAGAGGATTCTCTCCACTGTCTCTATCTTGTAATGAAACTGTGCCTCTTGGCATAACAGGTTTTCAGTTTGGACCCTGGAATTGCTTGAAAGGATATCTGATGTACTGCAGTAGGGTCAAGATTATTTCTTCAGGAATTTGCTCTAGGAAAGTAGCTTGCTGTCTTCCCAGGAAAATTGCTTTAATTGCTTAAAATAATTTGTATAGTCAATGTTTTTCTCTTGATAATCACATAGTTTACATTATCAAACTTTTTCTTTTGGACCCTTCCTTTACCTAAAGTAGATTTAAGATACTTGAGTTCAGTATTGTTGACTGTTTCTCACCCTCACTTGAGACTGTCATCATGGTAATCAGTGAAACTGACTTTGCTAGTTTCACAGATACCCTGCATTGAAAATGCACAGGATTTTAGAAGGGGGCAGTTGAATGATGGGGAATGGTGGAAAGGGTAGAGTTGCCCAGCTGAGTTACCTGCTAATGAGCAGGTAACTCTCAGTAGAGGATAGTCTATCCTCTATCCTCTACTCTCAGTAGAGGATAGAGTCTCTGAACCCTCTCTTGCATATGCCACTGATCATAACCCTGGAAATTACTGTGTGCCCTAGGATGGTGGCTGTACGTGTCCAGGAGATGTGGCCAAAGCATTCGGAGCTGGTGCTGACTTTGTCATGCTGGGAGGGATGCTGGCTGGCCACGATCAGTCGGGTGGAGATACCATAATCAAAAACGGAATCAAGATGAAACAGTTCTATGGCATGGCATCAAACACTGCCATGTTGAAGCATCAGGGCAGTGTTGCAGAATATAGGTCTGTCTTGTCTTGCACATTGATTGATGTTCCTCACTAAGGATACTTTATAGAGTATCTATCAAGCTATGTGACTGTTGATTATCTTACCTTTCTGACTCTCATACCAGAGCATCAGAGGGGAAGACAGTTGAGATCCCATACAGAGGAGATGTAGAGAATACCATCTTGGATGTTTTGGGAGGACTGAGATCTGCTTGCACTTATACAGGTCTGGAGTATATATCATGCACTCTTTCTTTACATTGTGCAGTTCTGTAATTAACTCATGAAATTGGGACTCTCAGGTGCAGCGAAACTGAAGGAGCTGTCAAAGCGGACAACATTCATCAGAGTCACTCAACAACTGAATGAGGTGTTCAGATCCAGTGATGGATAACCCTATTCATTTTGCATTCTTCTTCCTTACTCTAGATTGGGTGGATCTAGTCACCTTTTTAGTATAGTAGAGTAGCCTCATTTTATTGTGTTAAGGATCTGACTGAAGCAGAGAATACAGTCATTCTGTTGAATTTGCTAGATTTTCTTCATATTATTAGGTCTTTTCAATCACAAACTGCAATATCTGTCTCCTGACCATGATGATAGGTCTAGTCAAAACTGTGAGGTCCTGGTGCAAGTGACATGATCCCTCTTACTGTATAATTCAATGTGTGAATTTCTGGGCAGTGCAATGTTTACTTGGTTACAAATCCTACACTGAGTGTCCAAGAGTCTCTGAAGTGGTGATGAGAAGAAATTAATGGTGGATTATGCTAATTCATGGCATTTGTGATGCTTCCATCCATGGACTTCTTTTCTTTAATTATTTGTGACCAATACATCTGTCCCATATCTGTGATTGTCTCAAATGCCTGCCGATTTGGGAGACCCTAACCCCGTGAAGCTTCTCTTGTTGCATCTGAGCGTACTCCAAAAAACTTCTGGTTCCATTCTAAGTGCACTTATCACATTTTCTTGGATTAAGTATACTCTGCTTACTTAATTCTTCTATTGGTCTCAGCATGGTGGGCAAAGCATATATTGTAGAACTGAGTTCTTCCATCAGTTTCCTGCAATTATTTGGAAAGTTTATGGCATTTTGACTCCTCAGGAATGGATTGGTTTGGGGCATTGTCACTCATTTAGGGCCCTGGGTCCATTTGCTTAGAAAATAAAAACTGCTAGAAGTATTTGGTTTGAAACAATGTACCTGATGTTGCATATACTGTAATAATAGTGACCTTCCGTTTCTAAGCAAGTCCCTGAGGACACATGAAAGTGCTTGCATCACTGTTGGTCTCCAGTATTGGTTCCCGTCCCAAAGATCTGTAAGCAATTTTTGATTTTTTCAATCAAAACTCATTTTCTGGTTCAGGTGCTCTCATTGTACTAGGAGGGTAATAAGAAGGTCCTGGCCTTTGCTTTTGTTGTCTGGTATTCTATCTGTCTACCCTTGCTCTGATTCTGTGCTGTGACTATACTTTGTCGTTTTGTCACGAGGAATTTTGCTGGCAAATAAAAATGAGTGAAAAATCAAATGAATCTGTGTAAGCACCTTGATTTAGTCAGTGTACTGGTATCCAATAACGACCGAATCAATGCACACACCCTTGATTTTCCAGAAGAAAGATTCTTGAAGCCTGCACATTTTTGGTTGCTCATACGATCGAGAAATCTAATTTAGTTCCCTAGTTGGAAGAAATAATATGCCTCTCGACTCGTAATGTACTCTCATGTGCATTATAGAGTCTAAAGATTTCTTGCCTCGGCTCTGGTGCTTTTTCAACAAAATCGCTGGGTCTTGAAACATTTTTTCCCACGAAATAATTCCTCCACACTTAGAGTGTCAACCAGGAGAATTTGTATACAATTAGATAGTTTGTTCTTTCAGTTCCGCGGAACTACTGTTAACCGCACGAAACCTGCCATGATTCCAAGTATATTCTCGGAATCCGTCTGTCCGGATTCTCAGCTTAGAGCAATGAAGTTTTGTTAACGGCTGCGGACGAAAACCACGGGAACTCGGGCTTCTGGAATGACGATTGCCATAGAAAAACAAAGAGATGAAAACCACCCACTCTACAGCAATGAAAAAAAAAGCAGAAAAAAAACGTATTGCAAAACTTTTTAGAGCGTGGAATTTTTTTCTTATCCATCGTGCCTGATAGTCTTGAAAAAGAAATTACGTTGATGATATGATGACCCGGATCCGGTACGCGAAATAGCGTCAGTGGGGGAATGTTTTATCTTCGAGCTTCACCATATATTTGCCGGAAGTCGTAAACGTGAACTCCAATTGAGCAGCATGCGAGTCTAGTCAGCCTCACTTCCCCAGAACCGCTCCACATATTGTTTCCATGCATTTTATTTTTACTGTCGCACGCCCCCCTTCCCTTCTCCCCTTCTTTCCTCGTCGAGTCGTTTCGCGTGCCATCTATGACGTGGGTGCTAATAGTAGATGCACCGCCCGGCCTACGGAGGTGAAAGCAACCACAAGTTTATAGTTAACCCATCTTTTTCATGCTTTCGATAGGAGTGATTTTACGACTCAAGAAAAAAAATGTAATTCCAAGACGAAGGATTGAACTGTGGGAACGACGTTTCCGTATTTCTCTCAGAGATAAAAAAAAAATTAATGGAAAAGCTATCGACGATAACCTGCATTAAGTACATCGTAATGGTTTTAGAAAATTTTGACCGAAAGGTCTTAACAGGACCCTTAATGGCCTCAACCCATCACCCCTTCGCTTTTACCGTTTCCATACTTCACATTCAGCTTAGAGAATAGTCCTGCGGTCCGTGGCATCTCTGCTGGACGCAAAGGGAGGGGGGGCTCACTGTTTGCTCGCTCATCAGCCCGGCGTGATAAGTTCTGAACTGAAGAGTTGCATATTTAAAGGAGATAAGACTGTCTGCAAAGCCCACGTTTACCTTTTGCTCTTCCTATTTTCAGTTAGGAAAATACCCTGGACTGTTTCGCTTTCGGAGGACCAAAAGCGAAAGAACGCAAAGCTATAACGGCCAATGGGGTTTGAGAAGGGATTGAAGCCTGGAAGCGTCTTGGCAACGTGACTTCGCGAACCTTTTCTCTCTTCTCAGGTCGTCGACTTCAACGTTGTGGAATGAGACCGATTCATTCTGAAGACTCCCTTGGATTTTAATTTTCCGGAGCGGGATCGATAAAGATCCATGGCTCTGATAGACCTAATTCGAAAGGCTTTTCCTCTTCTGGGCTCCTCTCAGGCTTCATTTTCGGGTTACGATTGGTCTATGCGACGAGAGAAAGAGCGATACGGCGATCGCAGCCCGATGAGAGTCCGAAAGAGGACCGGCATCATGCGCGGAATTCTACGTCGTACGTGTCGGGAATATGGGTGGAGCGGATGAACGCGATCCGGAGATCCCAGTCCCGATCCGAGAAATACCTGGATAGCCTACCAGGTATTTACCGTTGACCTCGAGATTCTCTCGAACGAATGCGAGACGTGGAGCCGGAAGCGGAACACGGAAGACGAAGAGACGGATCGGACGAGGGTTTCATCGGGCACTGCCACCGGCAGAGGCCGTTTCGCCCTCGCCGGGAGGCCAGGAAGCGGCTGCTGCTGGCGAGTCTCCTCTGCGTTGCCTTTGCAGTCGGCGAGGTCGTGGGTGGGTATCTGTCTAATAGCTTGGCCGTCGTCGCGGACGCGGGGCATCTTCTTGCGGACTTTGCCTCGTTCGCCGTCTCCCTCTTCGCGATCTGGTTGGCGAAGCGGCCGCGTTCGAAGACGTTCAACTTCGGGTGGCATCGGGCCGAAGTGATGGGGGCTTTCGCGTCGGTCCTCGCCATCTGGATCGTGACGGGGGTGCTCGTCTACGCGGCGGCGATGAGACTCGCGTACGCGGATTACGACGTCGATGCGAACGTCATGCTCGTCACGTCTGGGATCGCCATCGCGGTGAATTTCGTTCTGGGTGTCATTCTCCACGAACACGGCGCCCGTCGCGTTCGCGGACGCCGTCGTCGTACCGGGGAGATACGGGAAGAGGACCCGGAGAAGGGAAAGCCGCTCTTACCGCATCCCAGAGACCGCGGAAAAGGAGCGTCGAAGGAACCGGATCCCGGCGGAAAGAAGCACCGCGGTTCCCGGCACGATTCACGCGGGTACGAGACTCCCGATCGCACGGTACCCAGCCCGAAACCCTCTAGTCGCGGAATCCTGTTTAGAGGCGTCGCGAAATCCAACACGCCTCACCACGATCACCGACCCACGAGAAACTTGAACCTCTCGGCCGCTTTCATCCACGTCCTGGGCGACTTCCTCCAGAGCCTCGGCGTGTTCATCGCCGCCCTCCTCATCTACTTCCGTCCCGACCTCCGCTTCCTCGACCCGATCTGCACCTTCCTCTTCTCCGTCCTCGTCCTCCTCACCACCCGCAAGACGACGACGACCATCCTCTGCATCCTGATGGAGTGCGCCCCCCCCTCCCCCGGCCACGACGAACTGGTCTCCGCCCTCTCGTCCGTCCCCGGCGTCTCGTCCGTCCACGATCTGCATTCCTGGTGTCTGTCCGTGGACCGCTGCGTCCTCGTCGCACACGTCGTCGTGGCTCCAGGCACTTGCCACCGGAAGACCCTGAGAAGGGTTCTTCTCGGGCTCCGTTCCCGTTACGATTTCTACGTTACTTGCATCCAGGTCGAAGACTACAGGGACTCCATGAAAGAATGCATCCAATGTACGAGGAAACTGAAATAAGTTTAGAATCGACTCCCCTTCCTCAACCGGATCGACCGAGGGCAATGATAACCCTTGTCTCCGATTCTCCTAAATTTTCAAATGAAGAAAGGTGACCAGAGAAATGCTTGACAAAGCCACGACAGTTATCCCATACGGGGAGTAAATGAAAAAGTGCACGAATGAAAACGCGAAAAAAAGATACTGTCTTCACTCGTTCCAAGGTAAAAGCGGGATGAGATTTTGGTCCCCGAGTGACCACGGTGTTGCCCATGGAGCAGACGACGGGAGGATCTTTTGGGCAACGTCTCTGCATCAATCTCTTGGACTTCGTGGACTCCAGCAGGCCAAGGCTCGTGGCTATGCGTCTCGAAATGCAACCCATACAACAAAAAATCCTATGGAGAAGGGGGACCCTTGGCATGAGTCTTTCATTCTCTGGAGTTCACTCATATCCCTATTTTCCCTGGGGTCGTATCGAGATGAAAGTTTGCGTCACAAGGCCTGATGGTCTTTGGCTGGAGGGAAGAATCTGCGAAGTCCAAGAGATCGATGTAGAGACTCTCTCAAACGTTGCCGAAGAGATTGCACGAGTGGCTGGGGTGTGTTTAAAATGACAGTGCACATGTTCAAGCTTATCAATCACTAAATGATGTAATCGTAAAGGTGCCTTTATTCGGTATGGAAAATAAAAACTTCCAATCTTGTTGATTCGGATTCCTTATTTTATGTTCTCGTTAAATTAAAGAAATAATAAATACGAGCGTTACTTCTTAATCACCACGAGTGAACGAGAGGCTATCGATTTCTCTGGAAACTCCTCTCAAGCTAATCGAATCTGAGCGAAACGAGTATAAATGAAAGTATAAAGCCTCGGAAAGCTCAAGATCTCATTTTCGTCACGTTCCGTCTACAACTAGGGGAGCTACGACCGATATACGGTCGCAGGGTGAAACCGTGAACCTTGAGGGGATTTTTCTTCCAGAGCCACCGTTCAGCCACGGCCAACTGTATGACATATATATATATATTATGCACAGGGGAGTAATTACCTCGTGTGGCACCCTCAAGCAGGGGCTTTTTTATTTTAATCTTTCGCTGCCTCATTCGCTTTTCGTTTGTTTCGCCCCCTCCCTTCTCGACGCCCCCCCCCCCATTATTTGCGGCCTTGGCTGTAGGTGCCCTTCTTATCTTCTGACTTCGTACTGCCTCTTCCAAACTTCACACTGAATCTAAGGAAGGTTTGTCATTTTTCGATGTATTATTTACTTTTATTGTTTTATTATGTCTGTTTTATTCATGATCAAATTTCATTTGAAGAACTGCAGAAATTTTCCTGATTTTGATTTTGATTCGGATTTTCCAGCAGTAACGTGAAATCTAACTTTTACTTCCAATCACTTGACCACGTACCCAATATTTCCAAGTAATGACCCGAATTAGTCAACCGCCCCGATGCAATGCACTGGCGGATTGGAACGAGACCGCAGGGTTCTAGGGTTGATAGGTTGAGTTACGACTAAGAATACTATTGAATGTTCGACGCAGTTGTCAAAACCAAATACTAGCGGATCGAATACCTGGCTAGCCCAATTTAAAAAATTAATAACTGTGACCTAATTTACAGATGGGGGGGGGAGGAGAAGTTTCCCCTTCTTGCGTCCCCAGTGAGAACAGTAAGAGTAAGAGCTCTAGTTCAAGTAGACGTCACTTTGCTCCAGATCATCGATGTACCTGGATGTAGGAGTGTGCGAATGCATGGATCTGGTTCCATTACAGTTCAGTACCTACAGGAATCTTCCTGTATACATATACCCCATTTCCATTTGCTTGTGCGACAGAGGGACTTGCACCCAAGATTAGGACATGCCCCCCCCCCCCCTCTTTCAATGAAGTAACGACCCTTCTGAAAGCGAAAGAAGTTCCAACGATTAACCCTTATCCTCTGAATAGGTTTCTAGTTAATATGCGAATAGCTCAGTACTGATACGAGAAGCACTACACAGGAAACATGATCATTTTCTTTCGGACATCATCAAAGTATACGGCGGCGGAAAAAAAGCAAGCATCTTTTTGCTTTGCTCAGCTCTGCAAAGTACACCATTCCAAGAAAAAACTTCGCGCTCTCCCAGAGCTCGATTGAATATTGTCCTCTCTTTCCTCGTTCATTGTTCGAAATTCCCTGCACCGATCATGACGATTTCCTTATTGTTGAAAGATCCCTTAGTTCCCCTTGATTTAGGATATAACACATGACGACTCATGTAGGAGTTTCGATAGGGCGATCGAGGAAAGATGGAAGGGATCGTCCCGCCCGCTATCTCTCCACCGCTGGTTTCTTTTTGGAATGATGTATTATTTCGACTTTCATGATACAGTTCCTTCTCTATTCAACGATTTCAAGTTCGTCAGAGTTAATACACGCATTTTTGAAACACGGCTGTTTGGGTCGGCATCTCCGTCATTAGGGTTCCAAACAGCAAGGAACAGAGGGAATGAAAGAGAAATTGCTTGGCTTTGGGTCGCCCTTGTCGCTCAAAAATGAGGACATCGATATCTGTAAAAAAAAAATATATGTTTGTGACCATTCGTCACGTACAATGGATTTCCTTAACGAAGTAACACTCGAGGGTGATCTCAAAATTGCATTTTTTTTTTAAAAACGGTACGACAAAACGCGTTCAGAAGAAAAAAATCATTCCACATCATCATGGTAAAGAAAATAACGTGTGGTTTTGTCATAAAATGACAAAAGTTTCACCGAATCTAGTAATTAAATGCTGATGGAGTTGGGAATGATAATAGGGTCCAGATACGGATAGGGCAGAACACGCGTCGCATTCCTTTCCTGGATCCTTTTGCTCAATTCCTCCAGATTTCTTCTAAATCTGCATATTCACAGGGATCATCAAATGAGAGACTTTCAAGTAAGGGGATGGAAAATGAAGATCGAGGCATATTTTCATACTTTTGTACAGCGTCGAGGATGGCAGGGTGGTAGAGATACTGGACCTCAAAGTCTCCCAGGGATTTCGTTCCCTTCATGCTCAGCAGTTTCGTGATGACCATGGTGTTACAAGTGATGTTTTTGCTCGGAATCACCTGAAGAATGTCCTCCTCCGTTCGAGGCTCCTGTTCGATATAATACTTATTTGTACTCCTTTCAGTTGTTGTCGAACGAAGGGGTCAAAACTAGGGTGGAGACAGTTCGCAAAAGGAGAGCGTTTTCTCGGAACCAATATGCAAACAGAGAGAAAGGGAGAAAACAAGAACTATTCAATATTCGATGCTGACCTTGTCCTTGGGAGGGTGTCCGATGAGCATGCCGGGGTAGTTGGGAGGGAAGCCGTAGGCGTCGTACTGCTGGAAATTGGTGGATGCGTGACCGAGGCTACAGCCGGAGATGATTACGGTTAGGGTCTGGATCAACTCTTCCCTGTCGTTGAATCCTTGGGTGTCTGAGCCGGGGACTCCGTGGAGACCCACCCCTCCAGCCTCTTTTCCTCTCGACAGCTCCAGTCTCCACTGCTGCAACTCCCAGTCTTCTCTCACCTGCTCGTCCGAATCTGAGCGGGGTATGCAGGCATTTGAAAAAATATATGAAAGTGAGGCACGCTGGATCTCGAATATTTTCATGAAAGAGAGAGGCATTTCGCTTCTTAATCATCAAAATCATGATAAATTAGAAAAGGTAAGAAGTCATGGAAACCAGAGTTGTCATTCCTCGAGGAAGTTTTGTGAGTCAGCTCTTTCCGTCAGACACTCTTGACTTCGATTCTTATCTTGAAGTGCAATCAGGATAGATAAATATTCACATTCCAGCCGCTTCCAATGGCTTGCCCTCAAGGCAAGGTCTTCCTCCTAAGTCTCCCCAGTGAATCCTCTTTCAAGAGCACTGAGAAACTGGATTTTAGCGCCCCTTTACGGCACCGAAACTAAATTCCCCTGTCTAAATGCCTCAGCACTACGGCAGAGCCTTCTTGTTAAGAGACCGTTCTTGAACGTTCTTGGTTCCTTTTCTATCAAACTGATATTTCAGGCCAAAACTTTGTAAATATTTTACGATTTCCCCGTCTGCTGGCTGCTATCCCAAATGAGAGTATCAAGATTCTGACCATAGATGTACGGCACGACTTCACGGACGTATAGGTGGATGGCGTCGTAAATCTCGACTGCGTCGTCCCTATAGGGATAATATGGGAGGACTTCAGGGTCAAGGACGCCCCGTGCTTCCAGCTCATTCCTCACGTTCCCCTCCACATTCATCCTCCACCTCTCCACCCTGCCACGAATAATAATAGTCGCACATCTACAACACGGTAGGCAAAGGAAAGACAAGGGGAGTCCACACCCACCCCCGGGCGATGAGTTCAAACATGCCCTCCACGCCGACCGTCATCGTCTTGTCAACCCAGCCTCCTTTGCAGATCAGCTTCTCCAGGCCTCGTCTATAAAGAAGCAGTCAACGTCATTCTATACAAGAAGCCACGCAGAAGAGAGCTCTACACCCATCATCAATCTTATTTTTGGTTGTAATATTTACTCATTGATGAAGGCAATAATATTCACGAATCCAGAAATGAGAAATATTAAAAAAATTACGACATCCAATTTTCCACAAGTAAGTGTGCCTATGCTGTTTACCCACTCTGCCTGCCTCGGCTAAATTCCAATTCGAGGAACAGGAATGAAAATATCCTGATACACTCCATGAAAATGGCAATCCCAGAGATCTTGTCAATGGGACAAATCTACCAGCTCATCAGGTATATCTCGCTTTCATGAAACCTTGACGGCCCATCCAGAATACACCCGATTTAAAATATCCGTTGGACCAAAACGACAAACTCAAACCCATACCAGCCGATAAGCAACTGAAAAATGCTGGATCCTGGTTGGTTCCCAGTTGGATCCAGCAAACATTGTTATGACGTAAACGCTGCGGTTCAGCTGGAAAATTCCTGATGAGATTTTAGAACGGGTAGGATGTTCTGGAAAAAGAATGGTTGTCGCGCACCTCAACATTGACTAAGCATCTCAAACAAGACAAAGTAAGAATTTTGTGGCACCACGCCCAAAAACCAAGAAAACGAGACTCTTTAGGTTTTGGTGCTAGAGGATTGCAGGTGATGACATTAGGCTTTCAAATGCAAACTGTGCCGTGCCCAGAAAAGGCATCTGCACTCAAAATTTTTTTCCCTACATCTCGCGATGATGACGTCAGTTTGCACTAAATTAAAAATTCATTATCAGTTAGGAAAGAATTCAATCTGTTCGTCCGCCCTCATACCTTTCAGTGCGTTAAAGGTTTACTCTGCATTCACGAAATCAGGAATAAAATACTTCCGAAAATGGAAGAATATTAGGACGGATGAGCAGCGGATAGGGAATTTAGCACAGGAAAGACATATTTGCGATATATGCTGTGATAGCCGTAGAGGTTTTATTTATTTATTCAATGCTGTCAGGACGGAAAGAATAAATGAAGCTCATCACCATAATCGTATTGCTGGGAGGGGTTCGCGGATCAACGTTCTACATAATAAATTTAGATTAAATTCGGATGAATGCAACCTATTCATTATCGTTTACTTCTCGCAAAAAAATAACTTCGAAATTTGGTTGTCTTGTGATTGCCTTGCTGGTTGCTTCTGATTCCTTTGGCGGAAAATAGCGATCCAAAATTTCCTGCGATCATGGCACATTGAAATAAAATTATGATGTGGGAACGGGGCAAAAGACTTGGTATCGCTTCCTATGGAGCAGGCATGCTCCTCATGAGGAATTATTCTCAATGATTGCATAGAATCACTCGTATACGCGGCAACGAAAGAATTCAAAGTTATTGTTAGTCACTTCGGGCTCGATGCACGCTTCTACAGAGTGAACGAGATTGGTGCTTCTGAGTGTTGAAAAGAATCTTTCCAAACCGTCCTTCCTCGGTTGGCCACAAAAACTCTCCCGAGTCGATGGGGAAAGGTGATGAAGGTGATCAACGTACGCATTGATGGCGAGAAGGAAGAGGAAGTGGGGGGCGAGAAGTTTAAACACCGGGTGGGACACGGACAGGTTCCGGTGGGTGCACACCACACACCCCTCCATCAACAAATGCGTGTACCCTGTCACGAGACATTTGTCGTCGATCGATAGCTAGCAGGCACATCGAGAGAGAAAAGGAGGAAAGAATGTTCGGGATCTTCATACCGAGATGGGAGAAGGACTGGTGGTAGGTGGCGTCTGCATTGCTGTAGTACATCTTGGCCAGGAGCCACGTGTACGGCGGGTCCGAGGGCGTGAAAACCTGCAAGCAGCGTTTGCCCTACATTGCCCTTATACGAAGTCGGAGTAAGGGGAGAGAGAGAACTACTCTCACGGGATTGTCGGGGGCTTTCTCCTGGAACAACTGGATGGCCACCGGCATCAGCTCGTGTCGACGGTTGCGGAAGAACAGCGCCAGCGGGGAACACAGCTGACACCAAACGTATACACATTTATAATAGCTTCAAGTTTAAACCAACTTTCACTAGACGTAACACGTTGCGCTCATTTCGGAATAGTTTCGCGCGATGACACGCAGACACCCGAGAGATTGCATGAGAAACCTCATTTCAGGACACTGGCTAAAAACGATGAGCATGATATCGATCAATTCCATTCTTTCTCGGCAATCATGGAACTCCTCAACTGGTTTTAGCGAAAAGGCATAGGACGGATTTTGCTTCCTCTCTAAAGTCCTGTAAAGGCTGTTCAGACCAAGTTTGGTGTCCCAGACAAGATAAGATTCTCTTGAATCGATCCGATTTCCTCTAGTGTCATGATCGATTCAATGACATTAAACTTGTTCGGAGTAGATTTCTCGTTCGAGTTCGCGGAATCGTTAGCCGTTTCAAAGATCATTAACGACGGAAACTTTCCACGCAGTTTTGTTTCGGCCAACAATCGCCATGAAATGAGAGAGAAAGCAAGTTTCTACTTGCTGCGTTTGCTGTTCTGTGCTTAAACGATCTTTTTATTCGACATCGAAGGTCCAATTAATCAATATAATCGATGTTTCTCGCTGTTTATCTTGACCCGTATCCAAAAAAAATACATTGGCAAGCCTGTCTCGGTAGCTGCTTCAAAGAACTCTTCTCGAGTTGGAGAGATGAGAGAAAAATCGCCAGAAGAGAATATTCTAAAGTAAATACATTGGTGAATCATTTGTGCAGAAAATGTACTCCGAATTGAGAGGCAGTAGTTGTGAGGGGCAATGACCTGTATTTGCTTTGAAGTACAAGTCGGAAGCGTGGGCAAAATACTCGAAAAATTGCTGCTCTGACGATCCTCAAAAGGCAGCGAATTTCGTACCGTGCATGGACCGCAAAAAATACCGCCGACTTTTACCGTCGAGTCTGAGTTTCAATCTTCAAACCCGTCTGGGTGGAACCCTTCAACTCTTGATAAAATGGGCTATGTTTACATAGCGGGCTTGGGAGGGATTTCCTTTTCCCAAGATGGGATGAGTCATTTTTGCGGAAGAGCCAAGCCATGGAAAGGCATTTACCCCGGTTTCAACTACTTCACGTAGCTTACGTTACACCCGCACCGATTTTACAGTAATTGCTCGTTGCCCTAGCAGCGATGTCGTGAAAGGGCATCGGATTTGCCCAGGATGCCAGACGGCGAAAGTCGCGACAGAATGCAACAATTTAAAAGAAAATCACGAACGACATTAGCACGACAGTGGTTCCATCGAAACTGAAATTCACTAGGTAAAGCGTAAAGATAGATTGGTTGCAATGTTCTTCGATGGGCTCCATCAGGTTACTATGGGACAAGAAGAAGGGAATATATGTAATCATATCATTCGATATTCTAATTGAGGTTTCAAACCCTAATTTTTGAAAGATTGAAGTGAATTCATGGCCTTTGAGGTTCACAAACCCAGCCGCGGGGGCTGAAACATCTTCAATTTCTAATATTGTAATCTAAGTTTGCGATCGTTGCAAGAGATATTCCCATCCGAGAGAGCAAAAAACAAATCCTGAAATCTCTCTTTCGAAGATCCCACAGGAATTTCTAGTGAAATAGACCAACACACTTAATGTTTTCACGTCAGTGACGGCCATGAATTACCGATGACTTCCGTGGTTTCTTCAACCTTCCCTCAGGCCAGGAGTGATCAATCAACGCTGACAGCGAATACATTAATTATGAAAATTACATGCACACACCAATGGATTGACATAGAATAATGGAAGCGATTTCGAAGATACCAGAAAAAAAGGACTTTGATGATAATGAGAGAAGAAGGTAAAAAGTCAAAGAGACAGACGTACGACAGTGTTGGGTTTCACGGAGACGTTTTTGAGGGCTTCGAGGTCAATGATGAAGAGCCTTTTGGCTTCCAAGGCCTCGGCAAGGCTCATTCCTCCCAGATGAGGTAACAGCTCCTCCTCTCGAATCCCGAATCTGCACCACAAGATCAAACATCCATCCATCCTTTTCCCTTTTCTTCACTTGAATCCCAATCATCGATAAACGCAAAAAAGTTAGCATGAAATCATTTTAAGCCTTTGTGAAGCGAAATGAAACCAGGGTACAACGTATAATCGCAGAAAACTTTGTATCTGATTGGAAAGAAAGTTCTCGGAATTTCTTGAATATCCAGTATAATTTTTTTCCAGAGCATGCTAGAATGTTCTGCGTGTGTTTATAAGTAGGTCGTGTCCTTCGGCATACAACCGTATATTATTACAGCCCTGGTGCTCTCCAGCCATGAACCAGCCCTACCCTCTTACTAAGGAGCAAGTTCGCCTGCTTCTT